TATTGATTTGGGTGAATTTATTATCTTAAAAAAAAAAAAAAAATGCTTAACAAGGCCAGTCTTTCTTACTTCATGCCACTCTCCCCATGACTTTTGCTTTCTAGCCATGATGGTCTTTTTATTTCCTATATGTGCAGTGTTCCCTTACAGGCCCTTGTACATGTTATTTCCTGAATTGGAATATTTCATCACCCACCTCCATTCAACTAGTTAACTCTCATTTCAACCTTCAGATCTCAGCTCAAGCATTTCTTCATTGAAGAAGCCTAATATACATGTATAACACCCACATACACTTATATATATTATATAAATACATTGTATTTATTTACTAGATTAGATGACCAAGCTATAAACTACACAAGAGCAGGGACTGTGTCTGTTTCTGTTTACCACTGTAGCAACAGTACTAGCACAATATTCAATAAATATTTAAAAGATGGATAGATGACAGATGAGAAAAGTAGATCTAAGAATATATATAATTGTCTTTAATTCCTATCTCCCCTCAAGGTGCCAAGACAAAGAAACAAACTACCTTGTCATTTAAACCAATCAAAAAAGGAAAGAAGAGAAATCCCTGGTCTGATTCAGAATCAGACATGAGCGGTAATGAAAGTATCTTTGATGTCCCTCCACGGGAGACAGAGCCCCGGAGAGCAGGTAACAAAGGCTAATGAATATGCTGGTTACACTGCAAGATCTGAATGGCCAATATACTTTATGACATTAATCCCAGACATTACTGTATTCTAGAGCAGTAACTATTTAAAATTTTGGAAAACTATCTTCTAGGAGATTAAACTGATTAAATCCTCATGAAATGCTATGTCAGTCTGTGGATTAAATATTTCTCCTACTGCCCTCTGATTCTTTGCATATGTGTGTTTTAATAGCAAGACCCAAATTCACAATGGATTTGGATTCAGATGAAGATTTCTCAGATTTTGATGAAAGCACTCAAAATGAAGATTTTGTTCCATCAGATGCTAGTCCACCTAAAGCCAAAACTTCACCAAAGTAAGTATCTTATCTAATATGGATTTTATTGTGATCATATTTTATAAAAGTAGACGTTGTTGTTATGTGCCATCGAGTCGAACCCGACTCATAGCGACCCCTCCTTGGGTTCCCGAAGCAGTATCACTACGGAAGTAGACTGCCCTATCTTCCTTCCGAGGAGTGGCTGGTGGGTTTGAACCACCAGCCCTCTGGTTAGCAGTCAAGTGTCTTATCTACTATGCTACCAGAGCTCCCATAGTCTTTGTTTTCTGGCACATTTAAAAGTGTTGGACATATTTAAAATAGACTATAAATAACAATAGAAATGTTATTCTATTGTAGACCTACTAACAAAGAACTGAAGCCTCAGAAAAGTGCTAAATCAGGTATGTATTTAAATAAAAATAGTGAGATGTCTGCTTTACTGAGGCACTCAGGGAACCAGGTGGGATTTGATCCTAGCTACATTACTAATTTTGTGACCTTGAGCAAGTAAGCATCCTTTCTGGGGCTCATTTTTTCATCCTTAATATGGGAGGAAGGTACTATTAATTACCCCCAATTTGATAAGAAGATCATATAGATGTGCTATATAATTTGGTAGATGAGATTTCTACATACCTATCTGTATGTGCTATAAGAATGTCCTTATTTATAATAGAGCTAACAGGGGACATAGTTATGGTAACTTCCTAGCCACAGCCAACCACCCTGAGGGGAGAGAGTTGTTGAGCCCATGGGCTCAGGACCTGGTCGCAGGGGTGACATCAAGCTCAATTGGCATAATACACTACACAAAAACACTGTTCTACATCCTACTTTAGTGAGTAGCAACTAGGGTCTTAAAAGCTTGCAAGTGGCCCTATAAGATGCAACAGTTGGTCTCTCCTCGTCTGGAGCAAAGAAAAATGAAAACTAATGACACATGGAAACCATTAGTCCAAAGGAGTAGTGGACCATGCAGACCTCAGCCTACATGATCATGAGACCAGAAGAACTAGATGGTGCTCAGCTACCACTGTCACACACTCAGAAACAGATCAGTGTAGGAGATACTGGATCGAGTGGGAGAAAAAAGTAGAACAAAACTCAAAATCATTTAAAAAAAAAAAAAAAACAGGATTACTAGTCAGATAGAGACTGGTGAAACCCCTGAGTCTACGGCCCCTCGTCAGCCTTCGGGCCTGGAATTGAACTCATTCTGTGACTTCCAGCCAAATAACAGTCAGGAGTATAAGGTGAACATTTATACTAGGTAGGTATGTTTCTTAGAACAGTCAACCATGGGAGATCAGAAGG